GTCACGTGACTCGCTGACGCAACAATACACATCTATAGCATCACGCGGGATCCATAATTTACATGAGCCGTATAGCAATAGATATAATCCGCATTTTAGAAACACGTTTTCAAGTAAAAATTATTGGTGTGCAAAGTCAGATATCCTTGATAAATGCTTCAGTTAATTCACAATTAATAATTCAACACAACTTAAGCAAATTATGATAAAAAACAAACAGATACCAAAGTGAGTTAACTTTTTGGCTGTCAGAATGTGTGATGCTAGGTTTAGGACGATCAAGACATATGTGAAGAGCACGCAAATAATTAACAAGAAAAGCTCCAGATGGTAATGTGGATCAGAAGATATCAACGTGTCTCAACATTATGTCATGTTATAGTTCTCGCTACAGTAACAGTGAAAACTGTAAATTAATATTTCATCTAATTTGCATATTGAGCTTTTTATAATTATACTTATCTTGCATAGTCCTGAAAAAGATGGGGTGATATTATAATGTATCTCACCAGAGGTCGAGTTGCTAGCGGTGGAAGGTGTTGTTAAGGTACTACAGGTTGACCATCACTAGTCCTGCAATCAGTAATCCGGTACTTATATCGGCTAGAACAATTTCAAATACAGTAAAGCAAGAGACGCGCTATTAGGTAAATACTTTAGTCTCGCTTGAAATAATTAATTTGTAGTGTACCTGTGCCTGTATTTCATTAAATTTTTCACTTGAATTTATTTGATAATTATCTTTTCTTTATTAATCAACTTGTAATGTTTTATGGGATATTTTAATTTTAAGATGAGGTGGTTAGCTAGTGGGTTTGGTGTATTCTAACCTAATAGATGGCTAATCCGGCACCCTCCAGGTCCTGATGATGCCGGATTAGTGATAGTCAACCTGTATAACTATAAAGTATAAGCGAGACAAGGACATTGAGTGTTAATTATACATTTAGTTTCGAAGGGTGATGGTGTTGTCGAACTATGTACAGATATTAACTTATATTTACTTTTATCACAATGTAGTTTTATTTTATATTTAATTACGTATACTAAAAAAAGTTATTTAATACGTTACAAGTATTATTTGAACGAGACAGTTAATATATGTGATTGTCTTTCATTCAAAAATTAATTTGCATGTGTCATAAAAGTTTGAATACTTTACAAGTAAAGCCATTATTTTAAAAGGTACCCACTTAACATAGGAACAATTCATAGGTTTGAAACAGCTATTTCTGTTTCAAATAATAATATTTAAACTTAAAGTTGCAATTAAACCAGGATCTATCATTAATAGTTTTCTATCAAACATTACATAACAATGAAAAATATGGCAATGGTACTGTGACTAAAATAGATTGTTTAGACTCCAAAAGTTTCTATACAGGAGAAATAGGTAAGAAAATAATGACCAGGAGTAAAGAACACTAAAACCAAAGGACTTAAAGCCATCCAAGCAGTGTGCTGTTGCTAGTGTTAGGGCAAATAGGATTTTAGGTTGTATCTACAGAAATATTGAAAACAAGTCTAAAGCAGTTATAATTTAATTATATAAGTCACTGGTTTGCCACATTTGGAATATTGTGTTCAGTCTTGGGCTCCTTACCTGAAGAAAGACATTGAATTGTTGGGATGGGTTACTAGGAGGGAGGGTTGTCATATGTGGAGACGTTGAAATCTCTCAAATTGTTTTCTCATGAAAAAAGATGAGTTAGAATGGATTTGATTGAGGTGTTTAAGATTGTAAAGAGAATTGATAGTGTTGATGCATCATCTTTTTTTTATATTTAACAATGAAAATAGTAGAGCTAGGGAACACAAATATAAGATATGGCAAGGTAGGAGTCATCTTCAGCTGATACAGTTTCATTTGTAAAGGGTGGTTGGCCTTTAAAATGGGTTTCCTTTGGATGTTGTGGAGGCAGTAAATTTAAGTGAGTTTAAGAAAATGCTTGATAAGTATATAACGTTTTGGGACCTATAGGCCCATCATTGCTGTTTCATACTCTAAACTAAATTAAAACTCACTTAAATTTATTGCCTCTGCAACATCGAAAGGAAACTCATTCCAAAGACCAACCACCCTGTTAGAAAAATAAAACTGTCGTAGCTGAAGATTACTCCTACCCTGCCAAAATTTATATTTGTGGCCCCTCGTCCTACTATTCTCATTGTTAAATATAAAAAAATATGATGCATCAACACTACCAATTCCCTTTACAATCATAAACACCTCAATCAGATCGTCCATAACTCTTCTTTTTTCAAGAGAAAACAGTTTCAGGGATTTCAACCTCTCCTTGTATTACAACCCCTCCATCCCAGGCACCATTCTAGTAACTCTTCTCTGAACCCTTTCCAACAATTCAATGTCTTTCCTAAGGTAAGGAGCCCAAGACTGAAAACAATATTTCAAAT